CTTGGATCTTAGATCGACGGCCGAGGTCGCGCGGGAGAACCTAATGTGAGGTGCTCCCGTAGCACCAGATATTCTCTCCATGGGGAGAATGGATGTAGTGTGTGAGGTGTCCAGCAATGGGACATGGTGGGTTTGCACCAACCATGTGTTATAGTTAAATTTGTGCTTGGGGAGAAGTTCAAGAAATTGGGACAATGGATATTTTAGTTAATCAAGTCTCTATGTTGGTTTGAAGTCTTATCTTTCTTGCCTTCGAAAGATAAGATGATGCAAACATTGCATTGCGTACATCTTTCACTATTGATAAATGGAAATAGAATCAAAATATTATTTTGAATCAATAAATATTAAACAATTTATAGAGTTACAAGATCAAGAATGAAGGTGGTGCGAAGGAGGGGTTGGGAGATCATATATCACTTTGTCTTCTTACAAAGGATGGTTGCAAAGAAATGAAGATTGCCGAGGGAGGAAGAAACGAGAGAATCAATTTCTTACTCTATGAATGGAAACCACACGTCACCATGATCATCTTAAATTGGGATAATTATTTGATCGCCATGTTTTCTTTTATTCTGTGCCAACGCATGGGCATCAAACAGTAGATACATAGCCAGCGCATTTGCATGCACAAGGGAAGGGAAGGGAAGGGAAATAGCAGTAGCAGCTCAGAACGAAGAGCAACACTGCTGGAGGTAGACGGCGCAGCCATCCCTAGGCATGATGGCCGGCGCGTACACCAGCTCGTCGCATCCCTCCGTCCAGTCCCGCTTGAAGTCGACGACGGACACGAAGAGCGCCATGAAAAGCGCGAGGTGGTTGAGGGCGTACCGCTGCCCCATGCACTGGTGCGCGCCAGCGCCGAAGGCCAGGAAGTTGCGCTTGCACACCACGTCCTCCCTGCGCTCCTCCGAGAAGAAGCGATCCGGGTCGAACTCGTCCGCCGCGGCGAACCCCTGGAACGACGACTCGTACACCGACGGGAACACGATGGCGCCCTTCGGCACCGTGTACCACTCCGTCAGCTGGAACGGCTCCGCGGCAATGTGCGGCACCAGCGCCGCCGGAGGACGGCAGCGGACCACCTCGCGCGCGACCGCATGGGTGTACTTCATTTGCTGGATCTTCTCGCCGGTGATGGGCTCCCCGGACTCGGGCGACCAGACGGCGGACACCTCGGCGCGCACGCGGGCGAGGACGTCTGGGTGGGACGCCAGGGCGGCGACAGCCCAGCAGAGCGAAGAGGTGGACGCGTCCTGGGCGGCGAAGAGGAAGTCGAACAGAAACCCCCCAAGCTCCACGTCATCGGTGTGCACGGGAGGCGTCGCGGCCGCGTCGATCTCTTTCACCAGGGCCTGCATCCAGTAGTCAGCGAGGCACTCCGGCTCGCCGCCGGCGCGCATCCGTGCCTTGCTCTGGCGCACGCACTCCCCGAGCGTGCGCACCAGCGGCGCCACGGCCAGCTTCGCGCGTCTGAAGGCGAACCCGGGCAGGTCCACGGGCATTGCCAGGAGACCCGCGTTGAAGAGGGCGTAGTCCTTGTCGAATCTCTCCCTCGCCTCCTCGGTGAGGTACGGCCCTACGAAGACCGTCTGCGAGGTCTCGAGGTTTATGTTGCGGCAGGTCACCTGTATCGGCGCCGCGACTGATCTCCGGTTCCGGTCTAGCAACCTCCGGATGTGGGCGAGGATGATGCGCTGCTGGACGGCGGCGTAGGTGGAGAGAGTGCGCGGCGTGAAGTTGGGCGCCATCCTGCGGCGCAGGTCCTTGTGCTCGTCGCCGAACAGGTAGAAGATGCCGAAGAGGTCCTTGCCGAAAGGGTGGCCAACGAACTGGAAGGCGTCGGGGCGGACGTTGGCGAACACGCGGTGGGATAGCTCCGAGTCGCGGATGAAGACGATGAACCGGCCGACCACGAATTCAGCCGCCAGCCCGGCACCGGACTTCTTTGCCCGGGCCGCCTGCGTGTCCCAGAACCCGGCCGGGTCTCGTATCATGGGCACGATGCTGCCGAGGAACGGCACGACCAACGACGGGCCTGGCAGGGCCCCCTTCTTGCGGCGGTATGACAGCTGCTCGACAAGAAAGTAGTATAACGCCACAGCCACAGCCAGCGCCAGCCAGTCCATGAAACCAACAGGGAGCAGCTCCACCATTGCGCCGCGCCGCGCTGTACCTCGTGGAGCTCAAGAATCAAGGTCTGTTCCTCCTCCTCTCGCAACTCAACGTATTGGAATACCGGAGAGCTAGCGCATATATAAGCCGTATGGCCGGGCAGGCTGGGTCGTTGCCCTTTTAGGCGTCTAACTCAAGTGATAGGGCACAATCCCTTTTCCTGAAAGCTAATGACCAGTCAATGGCTGCTGAGATTGATTCGGAATTTAGGATCCTGCTGTTTAGAGAGTCAACCAAAAACGCCCCAGATGCTCCCATCCCAGCATGCACAACACCAGGGCTTTTAAACAATTTGATTTGAAATCTCTTCTCAACCCGCGTATTGCACAATCAATATAGTATCCTATATCCTGTATCCTATATAACTAAGTAGATGATCCCCGCTACACTACATATTTACCTTAACATGCACGCATACCACATCAACATGTATGGCAAATGATCCATCTCAACATGCAAACATGCATGGCAAAAGGATCACCTCGATAATAAAATAATAATAAAGCACATGTATATGTGTTTTTAGTTTCACTTATCATATTATTAATCAAATATCCATGGTCCATACAACCAGATCTAATTAACATATGTCGCAACGAATTTTCGCAGCAATGTGTGGCGTATCATCTAGTTCCATGTGAATTCAGCTGCGTGACAACATGAGAGATAAGCTCAGTTTGGCTGCGTTTTTCTTGCCGGATTCCACTGCCTCGCAGCCAAATTAAACCTATTAAGCTACGCATGAAAGGTGGCCAAGCAGCTATGCCACGTGACGCAAGCTGGTTGGTCGTGGTAAGAAATCTTTTGAAATTTTGTTTAGATGAAGGTGTGTATTATTTTCTAAATGTATTTTTTTTCAATGGAGATGAGGACTTCTGGTAAATTTTTTCTTTTTTACTTTTCTTTAGATGAAGGTGAGGATTTTTTTTCAGAGAAGTTTTTTAGACAGCGGCGAGGACTCTATGATATTTTTTAAATGTAAACGTGCGCACAACTTTCTCTACCGGAAAACGTTCGATTAGCCATTGTGAAGCTATGTTCATTCCTCAATGCAATCTCTCAGAAGGTGATCGATCCAGAAATCCTACCAAGATTAAGGAGTGATGTGGTGCAATGTCTTGTTAGCTTAGAGATGGTGTTCCCACCATCCTTCTTCAATATCATGACGCACGTCCTAGTTCATCTAGTCGACGAGATTGTCATTCTGGGCCCTGTATTTCTACACAATATGTTCCCCTTTGAGAGGTTCATGGAAGTCCTAAAGAAATATGTCCGTAACCGCGCTAGGCCAGAAGGAAGCATCTCCATGGGCATCAAATAGAGGGTTTCATTGGGTTTTGTGTTGACTTCATTCCTGACCTTAAGAAGATAGGTCTCCCTTCCCTCAATCGCGGTATGAGGGGAGACTGAGTGGAAAAGACACGCTAGGAGGGGACTCAATAATATGTAGGGATGGTCATTCTTGGTCTCAAGCACATACTACGAAGAAAAACCTTATACACATCATCTTAGCAGTAGCGCTGGACAAAACAGGGCGCTACTGCTACTTAGTAGTAGCGTTTTTAATTAGACCGTGCTACTGCTACTACTTTGATCCGATGAGATGGCCGAACTCCAAATGGCGCAACTTGCAGGTGCCTTGCTTTCCTTCCAGAAAACTTGAATGAACGTGCCTATCATCATGTGGCCGTCCTCATATACTTTGCATTAACAGATTGAATGTGATAAACATGGATGCGGAGAAAGACCCGAGCGTGTGAGCATATGGGACATTGAAACTCCGGAGAACACTGAATTCGAAGCGACAATGCCTGCCTGGTTATGGAGGTACTCCTCAACCATGCTTTATCAGTACCTGGGGTTGTGACTGAATCTGCAAATATTTGTTGTATCATTTTGTAAGTTGGATACGAACTCTTTTTTTTTTTACTTGCAGTACCTGGGCTAGATATTGTATCTGTAAATATGTCACCATTTCAGAGGGCACCTGGAAATCCATATGGTAACTTGCAGCACATGCCCGCCGTTGGATCGGAATTGGCTATGATGATGTTTCTGAATCAATCTGGCCAAAACATAGGGACTCCACTCAGTTGTCACCAGTCCTCTTATTCTAGTATTATTCAAAATGTCAAGCAAAACTACATGCCTCCTTCAACATTTGGTCATCCCATTGGTTCAATAAAGCCAGAAAGCATGCCTTCCAATGAAGTCCAGAAGCAGCAGTAGTTGCATGCTCCTAAGATGCAGAGAGGCGATTCAGAAAGCTATGAGGTTCAGCCTGCCACTGATTCAGTGTCTGCGTCGGAGCTACATGTTGCAGGAAGAGAGCCAAGAAACGCAGATAAATATCCAAGTCAAAGCATTTCAGAGCAAAATGGCAAGGGTGAGCCTAGAGTCAAGCCTCGGAGGAGCAAGAAAGGCTCATCTCGCAAAACCATTTCAGAGAATTCTGAACTTTCTTCGGCACCTTCACGGATTTGCGATGACCAACAGCATGTTTCAGAAGCAGAGCTAGTCAGTTGTGACACCAAACATGTTAACTGTGGTAACAATGAAGGTTCATCTGGTGCACTTACTCATGGTGATTTTGCTGGACAGCTGCAGTGTCAGCAGGTCGAAAAAAATGAACTAGTGTCACCACCAAAGTTGGAATCATCAATATCACCTGATGGAGGGAAGTCAGTCAACTCATTTCCCAGTTCCCACCCAGGCGTCTTTTTCGCAGTTCTTCGACGCCTCAAAGCTTGAAGATTACTTCTGATTATGTACAGCGTCCAGTTTTTGTCTACTACATACATGCTAATTTTAGAAATTGCAAATTGAATCATGGATAGATTGCAAAAGGATTCCCTTTCAGATTGGTGAGCGATTATGAACTTTAGAAGTCAAATGTTGTGGATGTTTCTAACAGGAAGATGCTTGGACTAACACTAGTCGAAAACAGGGCTTTGGTTCAGGCCGGGCCAGCCCATTAGTCCCGGTTCAGTCACGAACCGGTACCCATGGGGGCATAGGTCCCGGTTCGTGATGCCAGGGGGCCGGCCGGGCCTCGTGGGGCATTAGTCCCGGTTCGTCTGGCCCCTTTGTTCCCTGTTTCAGAAACGAACTGGGACCAATGGGCCTCGCTCCTGGCCCACAACCATTGGTCCCGGTTCGTGGCTGCAACCGAGACCAAAGGGTGTCCTTTAGTCCCGGTTCCAGCCACGAACCGGGACCAATGAGATGCCTATATATACCCCCCTCGATCGCCCGCGAGCAAAGCACTCCACTGCTCTGTTTTTCTGGCCGGTTGTTGAAGAGCTTTGTGGTGCTCTAGCTCACCTCCTATGCACATGAGGTGTTAGCCACACTTAAGCTTTCTCCTCTCGAAGCTCCTTGTCCAAACTCCATTTTCCTCGAGATTTGTCTAGGTTTGGCGGTGATGAAGCCATGTACCTAGGGTAGGGTCATGGACCTGTCCAAGACACCCTACCCAAGGACATCTCTAGAAGAAATCACCTTTCAGTCGACCTGGAAGGGTTCCACTCGACGGACTCGAAGATACTCGACCATGAAGCCTACCGCTCGACCAACAGGAAACTTAAAGTCACTCTGCACGCAACGGTATGTCATTAAGTAGCCTTTATGGTCGTCATAGCACTTTATGTGGGGCATTACCAGTAACCCCCGGTCTTAATGTACTTTAAACCCTGCATAACTGAGGGCTGGAGGGGTCTGGCAAACTCTATATAAGCCACCCCCTCCTCAGTGTAAAGGGTTCGCACCCCTGTAACTCATACGCATATAATCCAGTCGACCGCCTCCGGGCTCCGAGACGTAGGGTTGTTACTTCCTCCGAGAAGGGCCTGAACTCGTAAAACCCTTGCGTATACAACTACTCCATAGCTAGGATCTTGCCTCTCCATACCTACCCCCTTTCTACTGTCAGACTTAGAACCACGATAGTTGGCGCCCACCGTGGGGCCGGTGTCTTAGCGACTTATTGGAGAAGTTGCGATTTTTCCGATCTTCTTCATCATGGTTTCAGGCGGAGTTCTGGTTGAGGGCCGCGAGATCCGTCTCGGCGCGCTCACTTTCATCGCCGACGACTCCGCTTGGCTTCAGGAGGCTCCACTCGACATCGACGCGCTCCCAGTCCGCGGAGCGACGCACTTTCGCGCGTGTGTCCGCAGCGTCCTCCTGCGGTAACTGTCGACCCACTATCGGTCGGTTCCTGTGTCATCCTCCCTCCCTGTTTCCCGCCGGCGCAAGCGCTCCGGTCGGTCGAGGCTTCAGCGGTGGGTGAGGCACGCGGTGGCTCGCTAGTCGGCCACCCCCCAAGTCGCGGCGATCGAGCCCAATGAATCTCTCTACGGCCTGTTCGACCTGTCGACTAGCTCCGTAGAGACTGCATCTGAGTGCGACAACAGTGATTTAGCAACGGAGGTCCTGATGGTCAATGGACCGCGCAGTCCTCCCGGCTTCCCCCGCGCTGATGGAGGCGACGGCGGAGAAGACCCAGCGCAGGTCCACGAAGAGTATCAACCTGAGCCACTCACTTCGCTGCAAAGGGAAGATCTTCGCCGCCGGAACATGGATGCGCTACACACTCCTATCGTTGGAGAAACCCGTGAGGCTCGGGCCTTAGAAGACGCGCGCTTGGCCAACTTGGCTGAGCGCACTCTACTGGAGAACCTCCAGCGAGCGCTCGACGAGCGTGCGCGGCAACGGGTTCCAGACTCCAGTCGACGTCAACTCTTTCCACCACCGACTCAGGTATATCGAACTCCAATTCAGAATTTAGCGGCTGCAGCCCGTATAGCAGAGTCGATTCAGCCTTCCCAGTCAGAGGCTGGCAGAGGCTTGTTGCAGATCAGAGATCTACTCCGGGCAGCAGGAGATCAAAATTCAGCCGTATCGCAGTCGCGGAATAGGATCCACAGCAGATCCGTCGCTGCGAATACAGTCCAGTCGGCCCATAGTCCAAGATCGCCCTCGA